AAATGAAACAGCAGGCTACGTGCGAGCCCTTCATAACTGACAGTGCAGGGCCACGTGGCATTGATTTCCAAAGTAGAGGCCTTTACAAAGCAGTGACTCTAGTCTAGATTATGTCATCCTGAGCATTGTAAGCACATTCTGTGCATATCATTTGTCATATAAAAATAATTTCCCGCTTCATGGTTTATTTTTCCTTTATGGCACATTCTGAATTCAGATTTTTTAAATCTGCCATTGGGTTTTCCATAAACTATCAGGCAGGACCTCTGTGAGATTCTCTGCTTTGAGAAACTATCTGCATAATATTTATTTCTGATATATGACTCATAATTACATTGTCATGATATATCCCTTATCTTCAAAATGGCATCTGATAATTCAGTGCCTTTTTAACAATAGACAAAGTGTTTTCTAAAGCAGCGGTCGCCAACTGGTGGTCTGTGAGGTCCAAAAGGTTGGCAACCGCTCGTTTAAGGAAACCTTTGGAGCAGCAGTCACCAACCGGTGGTCCGTGAGGTCCAAAAGGTTGGTGACTGCTGTTCTAAAGACTTTTTTTCAGAAATCCAAATGTTTCTTGGGGCCCTTTCCAAGACATATATCATGTATCTTTGACATTTATTTTTATCTATATATCTTTATTTTTTAATCCTCACCCGAAGATATTTTTCCATTGTTTTTAGATAGAGTAGAAGGGAGGTGGAGGGAGAGAGAGAGAGAGAGAAAAACATCATTATGAGAGAGACACATTGATTGGTTGCTTCCTGCACATGCCCCTACCAGGCCAGGGATCGAGTGTGCAATTGAGGTATATGCCCTTGACTGGGAATCGAACCTGCGACCCTTTGGTGCGCGGGCCGACTCTCTAAACCAGTGATGGTGAACCTTTTGAGCTCGGCGTGTCAGCATTTTGAAAAACCCTAACTTAACTCTGGTGCCGTGTCACATATAGAAATTTTTTGATATTTGCAACCATAGTAAAACAAAGATTTATATTTTTGATATTTATTTTATATATTTAAATGCCATTTAGCAAAGAAAAATCAACCAAAAAAATGAGTTCGCGTGTCACCTCTGACACGCGTGTCATAGGTTCGCCATCACTGCTCTAAACTCTGAGCAATCCAGCCAGGGCTCTTTGGCATTTTTAAATTTGAGGACTAAGCCAAAATTCCCATAACATTTTTGTTTGAATTTTGACTATGTAATTTTTAAGGTGGACATTTGAATTTACTCAATACTCATCCTTGTTTAAAACTTTAATTGCTCAGATGTCCTTAAGCTTATAGTAGATTGGCCAGCTTTGGTGACATCTCTCTGGCCTTTGAGGTTGGCACAGTCCAATATAGCTATCTCAGGGATGTGTGGCCATGGAAAAACATATTTTGGTTGTTGAGTGTTTTTGCTTTCTAGTAATTTTATTTTCTGCTCCAGGGATTTAATATCTGTTCAGATAATTTATTTTTTAAGGCCACATAAGTAATGACTTGACCTCTAATCTTAGCTTTGGAAATTTCCCAGACACTAATAAAGATAATGTCCGATGACCTTTTATTTAAGAATACTACTCACTGGCCAGTAATTAGTGCTATTTAAAAATGTATATTTACTCTAAAAATGATTTTCTACCTGGCCAGTGTTTCTCAGTGGTTAGAGCATCAGCCTGCTCACCAAAGAGTTGTGGATTCAGTTCCTGATCAAGGGCACGTGCCTAGGTTGGGGGTTCGTTCCCTGCCCTGGTTGGGGCTAGTGTAGGAGTCAGCTAATCGGTACATCAATGTTTCTTGCTCTCCCCCTCACCCCCTACCTCCCTTAAAAACAATGGAAGGGATATCCTCGGGTGAGGTTTAAAAAAAAACTAAAAAAAACCACACACACAAAAAATGATTTTCATAGTTAAAAGACTTTCTTAGAAAAATCATGCATGTAATGACCTGATTTGGTGACTCTTGGGCCTAGATTTATAATACTTTTTACATGGTGTGATTGAGACTTAGTACCATTCTAAACAACTCTTCTCTACAAATACTGTACCAAATACAGATGCTCTTCAACTTAAAATGGGGTATGTCCCGATAAACACATTCTAAGTTGAAAATAAAAATTGAAAATGCATTTAATACATCTAACCTAAACATCATAGCTTAGTCTAGCCTACCCGTGCTTAGCCTACAGATGGGCAAAGTCATCTAACACATAGTCTATTTTATAATAAACTGTTGAATATCTCATGTAATTTTTTATGTGTATGGCTTTCATGCTATTGTAAAGTCAAAACATCATAAGTCAAACCATGATAAATCTAATTATTTCTGAGAAAAATATCCTATAGACTATAATCTTATCAAAAATAGCACCGTGTCTCTTGGACTAATAATAACATTTGGACCCAAAGGGTTATAGAGTAATCCCTGTTTTGCATGAATATATCAGTAGGATTTTTTACAAAGGATCAAGTTGTGACTGAAGACTAGGATAATCAGTTAAATTATCTGGACTTTCCACATCAGGACACAGGCTTAATAATTAGTGGAGTGAAAAAGAAGTTCACCAGACCGTATTAATGTGTGTGCCAAGGTGTATTCACGAAGAAGAGCGGGGTGTCTGGGCAAAGGGAGAGTTGTCCTTTTTTTTTGTTTTTACTTGTCTTATCCTATATAATAAAGAGGTAATATGCAAATTAACCCTCACACCCTCACAAGATAGCTGCCTACGACCAGGTTGGCAGGGGGGTTAGTGAGGGATGACCAAACAACTGGACAGCAGGTTGTGTGGGCGACCAGG